TTCTCGATGTTAATTTACCGTATTTAATTATTTCTCGTGTTGTATGAGTATGTTCCTTTCTGGTTTTTTCTTCAATGTTTTTGTTTCTCATAGAGTTTCGCAGCGTTTCCCGGTTGTGCTGGGGATGAACGATCTTTCAAGGGTGGGAGTTCTGACGACCTCGTCCGGGATGCTCCGCCCTGGCACCGCCCTATTGCCGTCCGGGTTCTCTCGCGTTGCTTGATGCTGTCGCTTTCAGAAAGTCGCCACTTGTAGTTTCCTCACCAAATCCACGTAAATGAGCCTGGTTTAATACCGATATGAGGAAGTGCTGTGTGTTCTTATTCTTTTACACCGTCTTCTCAGCTCTAAGCTCTGCTGAAATTACATCATCGCAGTCTAACAGTGAGTTTGTTTTGTACTTTTTTTCGTAATTGTTTTTTTATTTCATTCTGTTTTTGCTTAATTCCAATGTTCTGCTCGCCATATGCGATGAGAGATTCGAATGTGTATACAATAGCTGGTGTTAATTTACTAGTTTCATCTGGCGCAGTGCTTTTGCTTGATTATGCTGTACCCGGATCATCAGGGCAAAATTAGCCAGCGATGTAAGCTAATTCAATTAGCTTATATAAGATGAACACTTATCTAACGATGTCAAAGTGGCGTTTGGTGGTTATCCGTCCAGATGCTGGTCCCATGTGTATTTGGCAACACACCAAAACACTTGATGATCACAAGTGGGAGTTTCAAGTAGAAGAGAACGCTGAAGCGCGTCGGTGAACTCGCACCATGAAATTTTCAAGCAGTGATCACACCGATCACAAGGTTAGTCTTCGTTGAAATAATCAGCTTTTAACTGATTTTGTCATGTGCTTCTATCTAGGTATATTAGGAGGATCTGGTGGATCTCCATTTAAGGGACTTTTTTGCAGCAATGTCTTTGGATGAAAAAAATTGACTTGTTCGTTAGGTTAGACGTTGAAAAAGCGTTCATAAAAACCATACTTTTCCTTTTACAAAGGATGTTTTTAGAGTAGGAATCATCGCTTTTTGTACCAGTTTTCCCAAATTTTACGTCCACATTCGAATTCTGTTATGCTAGCACATGAGTAGCTCAATATATTTCTCTGCTTTGTGAGGGCTAGTGCTCACTAAGAAATGCTCTTAATTGGGGAAGAACTGCGTCGCTGAGTCAGCTAACCAGTGTCGAGCTCTTCCGATCACTTCCGATCATAACGACACTTCCTCGATACCTCAAACATAAGGCAGGTGCAGTTTATTAGAATTTTTATGCTGCAACTATACGAAATGGATATGGTGGTGGTGTGCACCTGTTGCATGATGATGCGCTTTAGATGCCGTTAACGACCTCGCTTTTCGAGTTTTCCGGATAATTCGTGGTCGATTTTGCCACGGATACTCATTATGTGTGATTTGTTCTCCCTATGAATCGCTCATTATTTTATGGTCATTCCTTAGTCGTAGTGGTATTCTTTAACAGCGACGGACCATTCATTGGTCTCATTAAGCATTTCTGGTAACAGATCACTCTTTTTTTGTTGGACCATCATAATTTTGATGTCTTCGATTTTCTTCGTTCTGCGCGGAATTTTGATATGACAGACATGGGGTTCCTAAATGCTTCGTTATGATGTAAACAATACTTGTTCTAGGTTTTCACACTTCTGCTCATCGCAGTTGAATGGTATTGGTTTGGTACTCTTTAAACTTTGGAGTGGATATAAATCACACTTGACCCAATTAGTCGCTTAGTTCTTGTTGTTGCTGCTCTTCTGATCTTTTCTTTGATTCGTCAAGATTACTAAAAACGTACAACATTTCTGTCCATTATTTCTGCTCGGCATCGGGTAACTCCCAATTTGGTTCGTCGTTTACCTAATCTACTGATTAGGGCAGGATTATTGGCAGGCAAGACGAAATATCATCGTTGCGCAATCGAGGGTCATCCAAACGTTGCACTGTAGTGCAGACGAGACTGCCTTTCCGCGTCAAAAACTCATTGATGTGAACGCCGTTTAGTAGATCACTTAATGTGAACCGTTGGTAGACAGTATGCGGTTTCATAGATTTTGTTTAGTTTTTTTTTTTTAGTGAAATGACGCCATCACTTATGATTGCCTGATTTGCTTAGTTCAGAGCAAGAAATGTCTTTGCTTGCGTAAAGACACATCTGTTGTTGGGGATTTCTGTCTACCACTTGAGGTCACATTCGGCATTGGGTTAGCTGATTGGCGCTATGAATCCCATTTCAGAGTGGTTACAGAACAGTTGACTGCTCTGTATTTCAGTAAAACCTTCATTTCTGGGCAACAAAAACTTTAGGAAAAATACGCTTGGAATGATGGGTTTCAATCTTATGTATTTATTCCTGCTTCGTTTCGAAACTAGATGCTGAAGGGTTTGATTTCTATTGTGGATTTTCATCGTGTACCAAAATATGTCATTTCCACTTTATTTCACAGTGGTCTACTATTCATACATTATATTTGGATCTTTGAACTTTATCCACAGCCATCTCTGCCGTTTTTCGATATGAGTGAACCAATGGTTTGTAAACCCTAGGCAAAACTTTTGTTTCTACTATTCTAACTAGTCGGTTTGGAGATTAATGTTTTCAATGTTAGTCTCGTAAAAAGTGCAACATCGTTAGTGGGTATGTTTTGAGTTCATCTGAATTCTCGACACGTTTGCTATCTCTCTGCCAACTCCAATACGAAGACGTCAAGGCGGTGTGCGGTGCCTTTCTTCAGCGATCTAATATGAGCTAGTTGACGTGAGCGAGATGGATTTACGATCGTCAAGTGTCAAAAGCCACCCGCATATAAGCAGTAGGATACGTTGCGTATGCTGAGCCTCTGAGATTGAGATCTGGCGAGCGCCCGAGCGAAGGCAGATCACCGCCGATCCGTCAGATAACGTGCTCTTGGCCACACGGTAACTGTCACGCCAATAACACGCTTCTTGTACACCTCAGAAATGCTTCTGCTTGATATTTTGCTCACGATAATCTCAACAGTTTGATGGCGATGCCAAATGATTTGTGCCTAGTTCTACTCGTTTCTTTCACAGAGTCGAAAATTGAAGAATCGGAGGTTAATGAAGTAGATTGTAGTGATTGGGGCGGTATGTTCGAGAGAACGACTTCGATTCGCCTGAAGCAAACGACTCTCCAATTAGTTCGCATGCATAAAGCACTCAAAAGATGTGCCTGTGTCGGGTATTTCAATGTCAGCAAGCAATTAGACGGTGATTGTCGGTGCTCGGTTTGACTAGTTATTGAGCAGTAACGAGCGTGCGCTTAAGTCATTGTAGATAGATGTGATGATGAAGTGACGCCGACGACCGTAATCATTTCTCAGCGACATTGCACCAATCCATAAATGTGAATTTCGGCGGGTTTTTAGCTGTGTTACAATAATTTGCAATGAATTAGGTGGTTCATTTCATAGCTGAAACCTGTCCGCAAAATGTCGGAGGTGCTGCGTTGATGTTTTTTTAGTCGGCGCCAGTAAATGGCACACGACGTCGGTCAGACTAGCAAGAAAGTAACCACCACATTTTGTCTTTATGGAATGCTAACAGACTTCTTTCCTACGGATTTTTGCAGGAAAAGAGGAACCGGTAGTAGCTGCGAGATTTCTACGTCTTTGTATTACTCTGTTGTACTCATTTTAGACCTTAAGAATTTTTTAAACAGTAGGTTTTTTGGTAATAAGAAACTGTAGCAGTCTCTTACTTCACTACGGTAACTAGTCAGGGCATGGGGCCAAGTTTGTCCTGGGCGGCAGCATCAAAACCGTCGTGGCAGCGTGTTTAACGGGCAGATTATCTGTACTCAGCTACTCAAGCTCACTTGAGGGTGCCACAGACGAGCATATGGTATCCTTAGTGCTGTACCGACAAAGGTGAGCTCCCGCAAACAAGAGCAAACGTACTTACTTTTTACTTTCTTCTAGTGATTGACGGTTTCCGCCATCTGGTATGGCGATAGCTCGACTGATAAAAAGTTTGGGAGCAAAGTTTCTTCTGCATCATTCATCTCTCAATGTGTATGACCATGTATTTTTTGCGTGGAATTACTAGGTGGATATGCTCGTTGGTTGGTTTTATTCGTACATATACTTGTGTGCTTGTTATGCTGTCGTAAGCCAGCATTTACAACGCAGTAGTCAGAGAGTTAAGATCGTATTCAGCAATTGCAACTGAATCGTTTGTTTGCTTGCTGAGCTCGATGTCACTGAACGAGCGTGCGTCCTGTCTGGTATTATGTTTGCTTCCTTCACATTCGTCTAATATCCGACGACTGTCATATGCTGCAACCTTACTTCCGAACATTGTTATCTAAATGTAAACGGAATAGATAGGTGCCCATGGTTTGGAAGAACCTTTCTGCTGTGGTGGCACTGGATACCTGAGGAATGTCAAGAGGTGACGAAGTGGTAACACAATTTGTTGAGCGACGTGTGCAAGAAAGATCTCTAGAATTTCAGGTGTGTAATCCAACACTCTGAATTGACGGCCGTCGACAGACGGTCACTTATTGACTAGGTAAAATGTTCTGCTATATTGCTTTGCATTACGTGCCGAGTAGCGGAAGAAGATACGACGGATGAGCGTTTGGCCGTTTGTGCAAACAGCAACACACTTGGTCAACAAGCCGGTCGGCTGCCTGCAAGAAGAAATGGGGCCAGGACACAATAGGGACGTTCGGGTGTAAGACTAAGAACTGCAACAATCGGAACATCGGAATCAAAGTTATCTACGAAGAAAAGCTCCGTTATTTCCTGCTCTTCATTGCACAATAGTCAATTTCTCGAAATTGCGATTCCCAATGGCGGCGGCTTTTACGAAATGAAGAGAAATCATTTTGACGTTTTGATAAATGTACTAGAAAAACGCTCCATAGTGGAGATAGACCCTTTTTTATCCTTCTAAAACGGATCACATTGCATTAGTTTCGCAAAGGACACTACACTTTTTGGAGAAACTGAGTCGTAATGCGATTTTCAGTAATATTAAAATATTGTTCAGGTTCGATCGTAGTATGCGAAGGAGGCACGGCTGAGTTGGTGTGCCCTCGCGGAACGGTGATCTCAATATCGCTGGCGAACTACGGAAGGTACTCGGCACGGGTTTGCTATGAAAACGAAGAGCTCGACGTTGTAGTACCAATGACGCAATGCCACAATCCGAAGACCGTGCCGGCACTTCAAAAAAGGTAAGCTGTATCATGGGGTTCTCCTGCTTTTCTGCATTTTCATCTGGAAACCCATCATCGCTTAAGACATGTCAGATTTCATGTGCTCCGCTGTGCTAAATGGCTTTCACAATGTCCGCCGTGTCTAGCAGTAGGCGATAAATATTTTAACACCTAACGCGGACGCTCGCTCAGCTCATTCGTTTTCGCCACGATTGTGCATAATGAAGCTGATAGAGGCTTGAGAGCTCACTAGTGCAACTTTATGTTGTTGGCCGACGAAAGGCCAACCCTTTTATGGGTGCTTGAGCGTCGTGATATAAGCTGTTCGCCGTTTACGACTGTACAGCGATGAAGACAATGCACCACGATGATTCGTCACGAAAATATGCCGGTTATTTCGTTCTTCCTCTTTTCCATCCTTTCTATCGCAGTTATGAGTAACTTGCGAAGAAAGATGGGGAACACGTTTCTGGCTTTTTCAACTAGTTTTATACAGTGGCTGATCTAAGTTAGGATCTGAAACAAACCCTGTCTTGTATTTTGCTCTTCAGATCTGCACAACTAAACGTACGTACTCCTCCTTGTTTCAGCTGGTGAGAGGTTTTGAGAATCGTGGACGATTATAGATTTCCTCTCCCACATCATTGTTCTCAGCGGCTTCGGCCTTCTTACTAAGAGGATTGCGACATGTGCACACTAATCAGATGAATTCCCTACAAAATAATACATTTTGTCTTCTGTCAGTTTATGAATTTCCGGTGGAATTGGGACAAATCGCTTTTATTTTCTGACTATGCCATGATATTACAAGGAAATTCATTGGTGAGGGTTCGACTTGAAATGCTATAAGCTTTCAATCCGAGCAAATGAAATTTTTCACGTAGCGTCGCACTTCATGCATGATTTGGCCAAACGGTTTCTAAACAATTTCGCTGAGTTCACGATATGAAGGAAGAACGAACGAACAAACCTCTTATACAAATTACACCATTAGCCATTACAATGGAGCATTCTCGCTTATTTGGAACACTTATCAAAGATACAGGAGAATGGATGGAAGTGTTAACTTGAGCTCTTGATTTTAGATGGGGTGGTGACCTTTTTCAGGTCAGCAACGATAAACATGAGAATGTAACGAAAGGGTTCTATTCAATTTTTTTACGGTGACAACTTGCGCTGATTGCGGCGCGCAGCGTACGGCTGGTGGACGGGCAAAATTGTCAGTATGATTGAATCTGATGATTTCAGGGTTGATTTGAAGGCTACACAAGGTCACAATATGAGAACATTCTCGTTTGCAGGTTATGAATGGATTGCTGTGATTGATTGGCTAACTAAAGCACCTTGAAGTTGATTTTGTTTGTGGTAATCGTAGTGTTTAAATAAGGTTACGTTGTAATTCGCTAAGAACAATAGAAAAGTAGTTATGGGTAATATGTCATCGACAACCGGACTTAGTCAGACATATAACAGTTTCCAATAAGAAAAGTAATGATAACCTTATGGGTCATATTGGTCGCTTCTTCTCTACCCGCTTAATATTAAAGTTAGCTGTATAGGTTCTATGATATATTGCGATAAGCGCATGATTTCAACGATTATGGTTATTGTGATGATAGCAGCATAATTCTAGCCTTTACTGCAGATATTTTCAACTTATTTAAATGCTCCGCCGTCGCATTAGCTTCTGGCCCAGTGGTCCGTGTGCTTTGCCGTGGACGAGCGAAAAAGAAAAGAGTCTTTCCTTTCAGTAGCATTCTTTGTTATGAAAGTAGCGGGTGCATTGACCTGATTATGAGTGCATTCAACGAAGACAATGCTCGGTCGGTCGAGGTATGTTCGACGACAATTTGTCGTCGGATGTTCTTTCTAGAATTGATGTGCAAAGTTGTTCGTCTCTAATGTCATCCGAGACGCTGAGCAGGGTGCCAATTTCGTTGTGTTTATGTGTTGTCATTGTAGGTGAACAAGAAGGGCTTTCTTTGCTGCTAGTCTGCTACCGTACAATTACAGAAGAACAACGCAGTAGTTCGTACATGAGAGGATCGCTCTGCTCTTGTTCGTAAATGCGCGTAATTAGGGAGAATTTCTACCTGAATGATACCTCGTCTGTGTGTGATGAAAATCCACTACCACATAAAAAAATCGGAAAGCATGAAAAAAGTGGCATTTTACGATCATTGTTAGGGTAATAAAAAAGATCGGCAAGGTGAACTGGTCATAGCTACGGCCGAATTCGTGAATTTTAATAGAGTTAATCACGGCTAACACGTTTGACACTAGAAACTTTCACGAATTTTTTAAAGGGGTCGCCCTCGTAACTCTTAGTTCTGCCTCACATCGTAGTTGTAGTCAGATTATCTTAATGTCTTTGTCTTCAGTTCTTTGAAAATAGCGCTAAGAAAGAACAATAGCTATCTGACATTTCTTGTGCAACGGTTTCAGTCTCCTTCCATCGTAGTAGGGAATGCTTTTTTCTGTCTGCTTTTGTGTTGCAGCTGAAAAGACGGATGGCATCTTTTCAGCAAGCAATGTGCAGTATTTTCTGAAGTACGTCATGAAATTCCGAAATTGCAGCGCCTAAGACGACTTCACTATCCTAGGGGTCACTTTAAAAGGAATTCGACTCTTGATGTTGAGACTAGTTTTAATTTAATTTCATCAACACACTGAACTCAGCGAACGGTGTTAGTGGATTTCCGCGCTTAGGACTTCGCGTTCGCGCGTCCGTGACCCGAACCGTCTAGGGACCACCTGGATTCGGTCATTTGTCAAACCGTCTGTTCGTTGTTCTGTACACATGACTGCTCACACAACGTGCAATTTTTTCTGGGTCTGTCCTTTTTTGCTCACCATATCTGTCGTTAATTGGTTCGCGCATTAGCTCAGTCAACTTAGCAATTAACATAAGGAACGCTATCCTGAAGACGGCGACCGCAGCCACTAATGCACTTAAGTGAAGAAGCACACTTCCTCCGGTAAATCATAATTAAAATTTGATAGAAAATTGAGGAGAATTTGAGGATTCTTCTCTTTACCAACATGAAAGCTGAGGGGAACCTACCGCGTATCTTTAGTGGAGACTTTGTACTAAGTGGTACGGTAGTGCGATTTGCTTTAAGCCTCGTGGTTATGCATTGTACAGCTCGGGTCGCTTATCCTTTCGTTTCGAAACGAACTGAATCGTTTGTCATCTTGTTTTATCTACTTTGTTTAATGTAATTAGCGTCCATTAAAAAGAACCTTCATCGTACTAAAATGAAAGGATGTTTGAAGCGAAACAAAAAGATGGACATAAAATGATGAAAGCGCAAAATAGAAAACTGTGGGCCTTTTCTCGTATGGAGTAAAATCACAATTGCCCCAGGACAAAAATTTTTTCTTGTCTCAAAGACACACCACCGTAATAATGAGGTTGAAAAGATTCCGATGAAGCTATGCCGCCTTGTAAGCGATCCCGATCCTCCGTTGTGTTTCTAGAACCGTCAAATGTCTACTGATGAGGTCAATGTAACCAATAGTTGAAGGTCGTTCATATTGTACGCAGATTAATCGTCGTCTATTATGGACAACAATACGGTAGTAATGAAGTAGAAATAGCGATGGCATAGAATAAACATCAAAATCAAACAATAGGATTTTGTTTTGTGTAACGGCCTCACTTACGGATTTCTCTATTCACGGTTTCTATAACATTTATGGAGTTCTTTCACCACTTAGCAACAAACGGTTAAGAAAAATTCTAGAGAACATTTGTCTATATTGACATTCTACAGTATGGCTTTGGTCTGAATGGCAAACATTTCGAAATTAGCCACCAGGTGGCTTGACAGATAGGCAGGCTAAGTGCATTGGGAACAACTAACCAGCCCAAACCCAACATCGGATTTCGTGGCTAAGCGAAAAATGAAGGGATTGGTTAGGTCTTTTTACAACGGTAGCGCAAAAATTCAGCAAATGGAAGGATTCATATTTGAAATGAATGCTACATTGAGTACTATCCTTTTGAAAATAAAACTCCAGAATGCCACTGGTTTGTTCTCGTTGGAACACTGTTGATGGCCGGACATTTGCACTCACTGTTCTCAATTCCTACAACCAAAGCAGACTATTTTTTCTGGAAATTTGCCCATCATTGTTCTGAAATCGCAACCTCTTTGAATGAAATCGATTTTCTTGCTATTATTCATCAGAAAACAACCAGCTGTTTTTGATGGTTTACGTATTGACTAGATGACTAGTACGAGGTGGGCGCCTGATGGCCGTGTTTAGTGAGGCATGCGCCATTTCCATCCATTCTTTTGGCGGCGATGCTTGAAAAGACTAGAGAAGGATTTACGCGCTGGCCCTGTCGCCTCACTGACCCCATCAGTCAAGATCCCTCTCAGGGTTCGGGAGACCCGTGACTTCGAATACGCACTGCTGAGACCGCAATAAATCATGACACAAGTCTGCATGCATGCATTCGATGAATACTGAATTTTGGAATTCGTCAAACAGAAATGCATGACAGGGAACTTACTGCTAGGTAAAGGTGAACAAAGGTAAATGGTTGGTTCATTTACGAACAACTGGAGACTCCCTTGTTGAGTGACATTAACTGTATGTAAGAACTCATTACGACGGTTAGCAATTATTCTGTAATTTCAGTTGGTCTCGTCATGCATCAGTTTTGTAGAATGTACAAGAATAGCACGACAGTCATGATGCAAAGCACTTTCGTTTTAGTGTTTTTGGTGAGAAAGTAACCAATTAGCCACGGAAGGCTCCCTAGGCTCCAACATGATCTAAATTTAGTCCTAACTGAACATCGGCGTGAAATGTCAAGCTGTTAAACCTGTAAGAACCTGACTGTGTAGTGGAAATGAACTGCTACCATACATCGCGAATCGACATCCGGGTCCATCTTGCAGCCGCAGTGGAGGGCGTAAACAGTTGGGGAGCGTGTTGTCCATGAAAATGTTAGAGGTGAAACACCGCATAGGCGTTCCCATAAAATAAACTCTCAAGTTATGGATTTGTTCAGATGCGAGGGGTTACGTCGATGCAAATTCATGGTCGACGCGTTCATGTTTGATGACCCGTGTCCCGAAACCAGTAAATACCTCGAAGCGACTTTTCATTGCATACGAGGTGATTTATGTCCGCGTGACTGCTTCAGACGATGGTGTTTGAGTGGCTTGTGTTGTTCGGTGATGATCGTTGTGTTGTAGTTATAATGGGTGATGGAATCCGACCGCTGCAGAGTTCGAAAGCTCGTTTGTCGTGAGCGTGTTCCTCATCGTGATGGTGTGTTTCAGCTGTTCTGGTCGTCGTCAATGTCGTTTTGTGGTCAACAACGACTTCTTCGTCCACGATCCATGCCCGGGCATCAAGAAGTATCTCGACGTCACATATGCTTGTGTAACTGGGGGTAAAATGCGTTTTGTTTTGTGGATTTGTGATAGTTTGACATTTACGCCTACGAGAAAGAGCGGCCTTAAGTTCTTTTCGGCGTGAATTCGCTAAAAGATGACGTCATTGTTTAGATCTTTTGCCTCATAGAAGGTGATTCGTGCTTTTTCTGTTAACGGTTTAGTTCATGGTCTTCCACATTTGTGATTGATTTCTCCTTAATTGCTAAGCATTGCGAAAACCTTGCTAGAAAAAAAATGCAGCTGAGCGTAATTGTAACTTTTTGAGACCTTAAGTTAAAGCCTTCGTTTTTTCATTCGGCCGTAGAAATCACACCTCAACGAACGTCGTCAGTCGCTCCTAAGCTTGTCTGCGTAAATGTAAGTCGTAGTGGAATGCTGTGACTTGTGATCTTTCTCAACGATCTTCTCATATTGTACACCTCCAGTAACTACCACCACTACCACCACCACCACAACAACGACAACAGCCTTGACCTCGTCGTGGACGACGTTCGCAGAAGTTCATGATGATGTTAAGAGAGCGTGAGCACTTATATCTTATTCCAACCGATGACTACCATTCACTTCGAGCTAGGTGTTGTGATTCCAGTACTAGCGCCAAGTCAACAACAATAACTTGTGCAGCAACTTCAAGACGGGGAATCGAGTGGCCAGTTACCGTCGCTGAAACAACAGTAAACAGGCCATGCCCTGAGGGCACAAGAGGTATTTTTTTGTTTTCGTTTCCGCACTTTATTTGAAGTGGAATGTTAAAGCACACACTGGTTGTACACTAGCCTTCATAAGTGAACTTTCTCTTGATAGTTTAAAAAACTTCACTGATGCAGGCCATTTTTCCCATAAATGAAAAGCACATGTAAAAATTTGGTCGGAGGCGCCCTGCAACATACATGAGATCGATCCCCGCTCCAGTGACTCACCAAGCCTCCCGCCCACGGGGTTGGCAAATTGGCACAAGACTTATCTGAGAGAATAGCAGCACTTGTTCGACACATCGTAGGCCACCGCGTGTCATTGTAAAGGACAAATACGCGTTCAGTCGTCTCCAACGATACTTAATGTAATCGAATGCATAGCCCATGCTTCGGATTGATCAACACCGAGAGCTTTATCCTTTATTCTTTATCCTTTTCGAGTACTTTCAAACTAAAATCGCTGTTACTTTTTCGAAGCTAACCTCACTAATAATAATCCATACTATTCATGTTATACCTGAATTTTCAGGCACTTCTTCTTGGCGATGTACTTCAGAAGGTTTTTGGTCAGAATCTGAGCCGAACACCATGGGATGTCAAAGTGATTGGACAACTCAAAGACACGATGCACTTGAAGAAACTATCAAAGATCAGGATTCTAGTGGAATTCCAGAGGTGGCTTGCATTTCAAAGACTATCTTAGCTGTTATTGATCCAATCACAAGTTCTTTGTTCAGCTTTTGCGTGCGATGACATCGGATACACGGCGTCCAATGGTAGCAGGAGATCTACCAAAATTACTTGATATCCTTGATATCATTCAGGACATAATGGATAGAGAGCCTTGGGCAAAAAATAGTCAGAAGTTGGTGAACCAGGTATAGTCCAGCATTTATCGTCCAAAATTTACTTCATACATGATGCTTCAATGTCCCTCACTGGTTGTGTGGATCCCAGTGGATCCATTTTTCGGAGATTTGCTGGTTAAGCCATTGTAGTTTCTTGGAATCCCGAGGTCAGCCTGGCCAAAGTCGGCCCAGTTCTTCACCACCACAGGCAGTCCTAGTCCTTGTGGATCAGAGGGAGATTTGCCACCGCGCGACTTTGATACCAAGATGATGGTGGATCCTGGTATTGATTTACTCTTAGCTAGGCTTCCTGATGGAAGCGCCGAACTCCTAAGCTTGGGAGACCCTGGCAGGGGATGAGTGCTCTGCTCTACATCGCAGTCCGATACCCATGAACAACCCCAGCCACAATGAGGTGGTAAACCGTTGGGACGAATCGTTCAAAACCACCTAGTCTGAATCTGACTTATTGCTGAACCACAGTTTTCTTGTGATCTAAAAAAGTGGTACTAACTCTACAAACTAATTCGAAAAATGAGAGGGTTTTTTCGATGTTTGCTCCTAAGACCACCGTATTTCAGCTTATCGTGAATGTAGTGCACAATACCCTTCGTGCAAAGGAAATCTGGCAGAACTGGCCTCTCACCAAACGTCAAGTATTTGCCACGAGGCTTCTGGCATGTGTCGAACGAGCAATGACGTCTTCATCAGTTACGATTCACTCGTCTGAGAACTACGTTCAACCACTCGTGATGACTGAAATGAGCGAAAGCATCCGGGTAAGCAACTACTTTCGTCCGAACTATGATTGATCCATATCACCTCGTTATCTTTTTGCTAGACGTAATTTGCAGTTGTGTCGGGCTGGATTACAGTTCTTGTTTTTTTATCCATTTGCAAACGAAAATTCTTCACCACAATTTTCTTTGCAGACCTCTGCACAGCAGTCCAGTTATTTCCTTTTCCCGTCAATGGCGCTGTGGGCTGGTGAAAATAATGTGGACAGCGTCGATATTCCGAAAGAAGCCATGGAAATCACTGGAATGGGTGCGTCACCGTCGGCTAAGTGTTTTTGTGACTGTGAGCATGCATGTATTTTTGTAGTATAGCGTTGACTAGTAGATGTCTAACTGTGAAAACAGAGGCGGATTTTAGATAACCAGTTATGGATGAATTCCTTTTTTCCTTTGTCCTTTAAGTGTTATCCAGTAAAACTGTCTTTACACGTCTTTTATAGCTACTTTCTTAGTTCTGTCCGAGATTCTGAAGCACTTCTAGATCGCTCTCGAGTGTACTACGCCTCGTTTGCGAACATTGGGGAACAAATGCAACCGCCAGTGCAGAAACTTCCTGCTTCTGAACAGCTACCGACTGGTGGCGAACGACGTCGACGAGTCATTTCGCGGGTAGTTGCAGCTTCTATCGTTCTTGATGGGAAATCGGTCAGATTTCCAGTACTTCCGAAGCCGGTAAGAGTCCTACCTCCAATTATACAGGTCTTTAATAATGTTTTTTCCATTTAAGATGTTTAGTGAAGGAGTTGCTGTTTCCATAACAAGAAGAACCTTTTTATGTTCCAGGTGATCATAACGTTTCACCATCATCCGGAAGCCTTACGTCGAATGACGTCACCTGAATGTTCTTGGTGGGATGCCGAAAACTTCAAGGTAGATGATTCAGTAGCTTGTTCTTCATCTTCACTGGTCACCATTAAAATCGTACTATAATCCTTTCATTAAATAAAGGAGATCTTAAAGATTTACTGGGAAATCGCTTAAAAATCTTCCATTCTAGTGGTCCTCGTCAGGCTGTTCTCTACAATCTCATAATTCTACGCATACTATATGCAATTGTAACCACATGACTCATTATGCCGTTCTAATGGACCTTGTCGGTCGTGAGGTGAGGCCATGCCGATTTTGATTACATTCATGGATCTCGTCATGCTTGGGATTTTCCACCGTTCACTTTTCTTTCAGATAGTAGGTTCGTTTTCAGATTTCCACCACAGATAATCGTCTTCTAACAATCCTCACATATGGCGGCTGTGGTTTGTCAATCATTTGCCTTGCAATCACATTCCTTTGTTTCGTCGTCTTTGTCAAAGGAGGAGGAGACAGGTGTGCCGTTCATCAATCGATTTCATTTTTTGTATTTTTATTTTTATTTATTTTATTTTTGCATTAATTTATTTTGTTTATGACCTTTCATTGCTGCGGTAACTAACAATTTTTCCAGTATTTACTTCATAGTATTTCAGAGTTTTCATACATAAAAATCTTTGTGTTTCGTTAGGAGTTGCAGAGTTGGTGTTTTTATTGGGAATTTGGAGAACAGAGGAAAAGGTATTTCTAACCTTTCTTCTTATTGAAGCAACTGGAGGTTTCTGATTAGAATGCGATACTTCATTGCTCAAACCCGTTTTAGTTCGAATGTAGTGTGATTGCTGGCTGTCTTCTGTACTTCTTTCTGTCGGCTTTGACCTGGATGTTACTGGAGGGTTACCAACTTTATCAGATGCTAGTCGAGGTTGTTTTCCCTTTTTCTTTTATCAGTTCCATACACCAGTTCATCTAAGAATAGTCGTAACAGCTTTTTTGGAGTATCTCATTTAACATCCATCATTCTCAAATATTCCAATTTTTTCTAATTGTGAGCTACTTGTAGATCTTCCCAACTGCCCGACGCCGAAGGACATTTTTCTTCATCGGTTATGGGCTTCCTGCAGTTATTACTGGAGCGGCTGCGTTGTACGACCGAGGTGGTTTTGGTACTCGCTATCACTGCTGGTAAGTAGCCAATACCTCAGTTTGCTGAAAATCCGATGCAGCAAGAGATTAACGTTTCTTGTCTTGGGTCAATAGCTTGTGTTTTGCACTCCTGTTCTTTTCCTCAGAATGAATCGTTTAAATAAAATGTTCAATCCGTGCAGGCTACGCACTGACAACCTCTTCATTCTGTTCTTCGTAGTACCAGCGGCAGTCATTCTCATCGTGAACACGATATTCCTCTTTATGACAATGTGCGTCGTGTACAGGCATTCCAAGTACATTCCGTGTAGGCATGCGTCGGACCACGGAGGAGCTATTAGGTAGGCGCGTCGAGAAAAGTAAAAAAAATCATATTTTATCAGAGCATATTATATCATTAAGGACGTGGGTGAAAGGATCTATGGGACTGGTTTGTCTCCTGGGTGTTACTTGGACATGTGGGCTCTTATGGATCGATGACGGTCATTCAATAGTGATGGCTTACGCTTTCACCATCGCTAACTCACTCCAAGGACTCTTCATATTCCTCTTCCATGTCGTCTTTTTCGATAAGGTACGAAAAAATATGTACTTCCAATTTAATTCGCCATATGGAACTTTGCATGGACTGATTTTTCCCTTTACAGATGCGTCACGATATGTCTCGATGGTGCGCCAGACATCCGGCTTTTTCATGTTTTGTAGCAAATTCTCATAGTGCTTCGAAAGACCATCATAAAGAAAACAGAGAGGCAATTTCGCCATCTGACAAAAGTGGAACTGGCAGTGAATCCGTTGTGGGTTTCTGAAAATGGCTTGACTTTGAGCTCTATAAGGTATAACTCGTATGAAGTGCTGAGATATTTGCAAAACTCCGGACCACAGGTGTATGCAGTGGGGAACGAACACGCGCTCTTGTCCTTACCGGGGAGCAGCGCACTTCACCACTACACCATCCGGGTCACCCAGTCACTTCATACGAGTTATATTTCACAACATACCCTGCCATTAAGAAGAAAAAGGCAGTAAATAAAAGAGTTAAGTCTATAAGGTATTTTGGTAACATTAGCTCTAAGCGTCAGTGGAACGGTGAACTCCAGGAAGTATGTAGAAATGTCAATTGTTTTGCAGTATATCTGCAAATATGTTCTTACGAACTGCTATTTTTAGCCGACGTGAGGTTGTTATAGATGTTGTTGTTGTTGTTGTTGTTGTTGTTGTTGTTGTTGTCGTTGTTGTTGTTGTTGTAACAATAACCGACGTTTCGGCGACTTCGCCTTCCTGAGAGCATTGCCGTTGAACTGTACGTATCACTTATCATCACTCGTGAACAGCACACAGGTGGTCCATTGGCAAGGCTCTGAGGAAGGCGAAGTCGCTGAAGCGTCAGCCATCGTTACAACAATAACAACAACAGCAGCAATAGGAACATCTATACCAACTTTGCGTCGGCTAAAAAGCGCAGATTGTAAGAACATATTTACAGATATATCGATTGTAAGGGCGCGTCTGGCGTAGTGGTTGGAGACGCCACTGCGACACACACGTGGAGTCGATCTCCGCGCCCATAGCCCACCAAACGCTCCATCTCTCCGGGGTGGTGAAATTGGTACCAAACTTTTCTGGGAGGATAGCATCACTGGCTCGATACATCGGTCAGCCACCGCGAGTCATCGTAAAGGCCAGATATGCATTCAATCAGCTCCAACGTTACTCAGTGAAGTCGAATATATTTTGCTTCCCTCAGTGATTGATCAACGCCGAGAGCTTTACTTTTTACCCTTTATATTGACGATTTTGCCGAGGTTTATAGAAAGTCGTACTTTTGAGTTATTAAGAGATGTTTTGCAGTACCCAGCCTCAGAGAAGCTGCGTACTTCACCTCGTGGTCTAAATTCGTCATTGAACTCGGGCTACTTTCAACAGCCTCTCATTCACCACTATCAGTGTCATCCGCAAGCTAACGGTAGGTTTAGTTGACTTGTCTATGCTTTGTTCGAAGCTTGTTTTTCGTTCATTCACTTCCTATTGTACGATGTGAAAGGTAATGATGAAATCATCGAAAGCTATTTCGGGAGAACTGTGCTGGAAATGGATAGCTTGTTCAAGGTCGACGTCTGTTCTAAACTTTGAATCCTAGAAGAACTGCTTATATATGGGGCTGATTCGAAAGTAATGGCGGATTTTGACCAGAAAATTTGAAATGCTATAATTCGGATCAGAGTAGCTTTATTAATCAATATGGCGGCAGTTATAATTCATACTTTTTCAACAACAAACATTTTTTTCTTCAGACAGACTAGAATTCAGAAGCTCTGGGAATCGGTTGTTTCGAAGGCACTATATTTCGCGGCTTCATTATTGAAGACTTTTCGATGCAGGCGCTGATGTTTTTGAGAATGTAGTTATCGGTTAACGAGATGTTTGATCAGTTTGATGGATAAAGAATGGTCCTTTAACCATAACTTCTACAGTATAACTTGTTCGACGTATGCTTTATCATTCTGATACAAGGGTATTAGCCCTTTTTTGTTGGTCAGTTTTGAGTACCACTGTGCATTTTCTGCTGCATACTTCTTTACTGTGATGGTTACTCCAGAATTCTAGAAGTTATAACAGATGGTTCCATCTATACGCGATGAAGAATTCATCACAACCTTTCTTCGTGCACATTTAGCTTCGGAAAGTGCTTAAGGGACTTCGTGGTGCAGTGTGCAATGCCCGGGCACTCGGTAGTGTATTAGTGGTTCGATCCCGCCTCGGGGTCCAAGTTTTGCAAATATCTCAGCATCGTCGTGGATGTTGAACATCGTCGCTTATCACATAGGGTCCAATTTTCACCTCTTATCAGAGTACGCTTTAGGAACTGCTTGTTTTCAGTGGGCAGAAAAGTGCAGAGCAGCTTTAATAACAAATTGTGTTCTGAATTCGTCCGATTTGTTTGAAGCCAGTAGATGAACTTGTAGAATCTGTTGTTTTTATTTGCTAAAGAGATAACGACCTTCTGCTTTTTCCTTATTCAATTTGTAGGGTGTTCTGTGATTGAATTTATAAAGTCGATGAAGACAATTGCCGCCATTGTTTTTTCGTTGGCGCAATGTTATTTGCCCACCCTTCGTACAATTTCTTTTAAATCTTGCTTTATTAGGGTGTTTAATGCTTCACTTGTAAAATTTTACACGAACTGTTCACAGTCATCACACTAGTGAGGGTCGAAATTCCACACAGCAACGCAAAAGCTGAAGTCTGTGCACTTTTGTTCCATTTGGAATATTTATACTCAATAACGATCGTTCCTATGATTTCAGGCACGTACGACTACGCGACGATCGCCTACGGTGAGATGGTACCTGGTCACATGATACCTCGAAAGCTGGCCTATCCGCATCCGAACGTAGCTGTGCATTGTCCGCCACACGATCAGACTCTGATTCGTAGTTGTGGTGGAGATGTGGATTCTGTCTATCAGCCCCAAGTATTCCGCTACCATTACCATCGACCTCCGCCGGACTTCTCACCGCCACCGCCACCGGATCGCTTAAGTCAGCAAGCCGTACGCCAATTATTTGCCTCAGCCAGACCGCCCTCGTCGAAGCTTAGCGATGACTCGGCATATTCTGACGGTGGTTCCTCGTCTGTGCTTACCACCGAGGTCACTCCATCGGGAACGACCGTGCTTAGAATGGAATTGGGTAGAAATCAGCCTAACCATTTTCGAAATGTTTGACTTAATTCTGCATTACTGTAAAGTGTTCTACGACCAAGAATGAGGTTGTGTTCTTTAGTCACGGTTTGACAAATTCGGGTGCTGTTGCAATATTATTGTTATTGTTTTCTTCATTTCTACTTTGACATCTAGGCTAGTGTTAACCGTTCTCTGTCACTTTAACGTATGTTCGTTGCTCCAATTCCATGACAGTTACGATACATTCAAAGATTTTACTTTGTAAGCGATTGCGTCTTGAATTACCGGTTTTCCTTTACATTAGTGGACTGTAGTGTAGTTGCTGTTCTGAGGTACTTCATCTAGTCGAGAATAGCGTAATATCTGTTACTATTGATTATTACTTGTTTTCTCTTTCTCACTGGTTGCCTTAATGAGCACATCCATTTCTTTCGTATGGATAACTTAAGAAGTAATTTCTACTTTTGTGTAATAGATAAAAACATGAAAATTGCAGATGAAAGTAGTATACGAAGAAGAGAGATTTCTGAGACATTCACTTGCCGTAGGTAATGTCAGAATACACAGGAAATGTGACAATCGGGCTCTTATAGATGGCAACTGATCACCACCAAGTATTCATAGAACAACTATCCTTGGAATATCGATTTAAAAATTTGGTGTGACTCCTGTATGTTGGGCCAACCGCTGCTTCTAATCTGTGGGTGCTCAGTCTGAAGTAATAAAGGTATTCCGAGAGGATAGCTTGGTCATCCTTGATGACGTGTGACTGAAGTGTTAAGAGTGCATTTTTTAATGGATTTCTTGACATTAACGATCATGCGATTTCTCTTCTATGATAAGGGAGATAATTGCAGAGTTAAGAACGTTACAAACATTGAAACTAAACTGATTCCGTACTCCTTTGGAAAATAAATATAGCTTTCTGAACATCGTTTTCATTCTAGAGCTTTTGATGTCCTACTGGACAAAACCCCTCTTGTTCAGTAGCATCGCCGTTCAAGACACGGCCCTCGATGGGTAGCAAGAGCAAGAACCGTCAGGAGAATCAGTACTCCATATTCATGGAATAAATAGGTTTGTTTTTTCTTGAAAAATAATTGTAAATTCTAATAGTTTCACCCGCTTCATAAGAGATCAGACACATCGTGTCGGAACTTCTGCAGTCATCTTCTCTACTGTTGGGTGAAGAAGTAATGCAATTTTGTGTTATACACAGACGGTCATACAAGCAGTTATGAACTAGTTGACATTTTGGAGTGCTTTTTTGTACTCCAATCACTGCTACCGATTTCTATAGAATAAGCTTTTTAAACATCGCTTTATAGCCATTTTTACTTTGTTAGAGATAAAGGAGAGGTTGGAAGGGACCTCGTTTTCGGTAGATTTGTCGTTTGGTGGATTTGTTTTTCCCGTCGACTTATCCCGGACAGCTAGCGTTTCACAGCCACGATTTCAGGGACTCTTTTTTCTGACCTCTTCCTGAACATACAATGTTGGCTATTCAAAACAGATTTCTCACAAGCACTCCTTTTGTGTGTGAAGCATGAGAGGAGGGCCCTAGCACTTTCCTCACCCACATAGGACTCTGCAGCTGGTTTCGAACAGTAACTGGAATGCTTTTAAAGCACGAAAACGTGAGTAACTTGATGTTTTCTTGATTAACACACGCGTGGTTGTTCTTACATATTATTTGCTTCCTCACACACTTTCCGCTCTATGTGAGTCTTCTACTGAGACTCCAAATGGAGGCCAAATGTGAAGAGCTCACATGGAAGGGTAACGGGCCGCTCCCACGTTAATATGTCACCCTCAGATGTTGTGTGGGATCTTGTCTGATAACAAGGGATTTCTCCTGCAGTTCGTTTTTGGATTCTTAGAATTAATCCAGAGTGCTTTGAGAGTTTCAAGCGCTTTAGTTTTACATTCTTTTGCGAGGACGGTGACTTCCGCTTCAAAATCTTCTCCATTCTGTCTCTGTGTCCTCTGCGCGCCTAGGGGAGTATTTGGTTTATAACTCAATGTTTAACGACTGAATGTCTTTTTACACAGATGCGGAACGATGTACCGGTTTTGCAAATGTGTTCGTTTCCATACGCTTCACCAGAGATCAGAGAAACAGGGAAACAGCAACAGGGAAAAATTGAAGATTTACTGTCGCCCGCTCGAGTCAATCAACGATCAGCGGGACTACAGGTGATATAGGTGGGGTGATACCGTGCAAAAAAATTATAGTAGGCAGCAAATAAAAGTTAACATTGTGATTTCGAATGCAGGCTCTGCTTAATTGGGTTCAATGCCGATTTGTGCTCTCCACATCGATCCCGCTTACGGGTGATTGCTGATGGCAACGCTCCTGCACGCTTTGCAAGAGACCAGAGAAACCGTTTCCGAACTCATGCAATCACCATCTCTACCATCAGAGCAAATACAGCAATTTCGCATTGTGGATAGGCGATGATAAAAACGGTTAGAAGCTAGTTGGCGCCATAGAGTGTTCTGTCATAATTCAATGACTGTCATCGACATCTCTACACTCGCCACATTTAAACAATGTTTTGTGGCCTTGCTTATTATGCTGAAAATGGAGGCAGGATAAGCGGGACCTTATTCTCGACAAACATTGCTTAAAAAGGCTTAATCTGAAGAAATCAGTATCAGTGATTGAGCTACCACTGAACACTCTACGTGTTCAGCTAGTTTGTATGACCTATTTACGGCACAGAATTGCGTAATATGTCCTAACAGTAGAGACAGTGATTGCATGAGTTCGAGTACGGTCTTCTTGATCCCTTGCCAAGCGTGCAGGAACGATGCCATCATCAATCACCCGTCAACGGGATTGATGTGAGGAGCACAAATCGGCATTTAACCCAGTTAATCAGAGCCTATAGTCTAAATCATAGAAATTATTTTATTTGCTGATTGTTACTATCTTTTCATGGCAGAGTATCACCTCACTTGTAGTTCCGTTGATCGTCGATTGACTCGAGCGGACGCCAGCAAATCTTCCATTTTTCTCTGTCGCGTGCAAGAGTAGCCCACTGGGTTCTGTTTGCCCTGGAGATCGGTTGAGCATCATTCCTTTTTTCCAGGCTTCTTGTGAAGAATTCTGACCATCGGATCGGTGGTCTTCCTGCAGTACGCTTGATAATCCAAAGAATCCAGTCGCTAACGGCTCTTGACCATTGATCGTCATTCATACGCATTACGTGTCTGGCCCAGCTCATCTCCGGCTGTTTGGCGTACAGAACGGTATCTTTGATTTTTAATCCATGAAGCAGGTTGCAGCTGTGGATCCCTTCTCACACTTGTGTGACACGGGGTACTCTTAGCATAGTCCCTTCGGCTGCACATTCAATAACGTTGAGTTATTCTCAATCCTGTCTACGCAGCGACCAGGCTTCTGACGCACATATTAAGGCTGGAATAATCGTGAAATCTTAAATATGGACACGGAATCGGGTGTTCTGATCTCCTTGCTACACCATCTACGCTCTTGAAAGCTTCCCAAGCCGCTGGTTTCCTCCTGTTCAATTCTAGAGCCAACTCGTTCATTATGTTGATTTCCCAACCTAGATGAGCGCAACTGGAGCATTCGGAGATGTTTATACTGTTGAGCGTGAATGGCGCATTCGTAACTAATCCATTCCTAATGAACATCGTTTCTGTGAGATCTGGTCGAAGACCAATTTTTCCAAAGGCTTTATCAAAGTCGGGAAGCATTCGGTCTGCCTGTTTAATGTTAGGTGTTGTAAGAACGATCTCTTCAGCAAAGCGAAGATGGCATGATTGCCAACCAACGACCTTCACTTTCGTGTTGATACATTCCAATATTCGAATGACGTTCTCGAGGGTGGCGGTAAGTAATTTTGGGGAGAAGATATCGCCTTGCCTAGTCCCCTCTTTTGATTTCGATGTTGATATCTTTGCAGAATGGTGATATCTTGGTTGTGAAGTATTCATACATCTCACGATAGATAAACTGAGTACGGGCTCCCTAAATACCCGGAGCTTCTATGTCAACTGAGTCAAAAGCCTTCTTTAAATCGATGAAAGTGGGAGAAGGCGGTCTTTTGTCCTCTCACGATACTTCAATGTACCTTGTTATCGTGTGGATGTGGTCCATTGTAATGAATCCTTTTCGGAACCCTGCTTGCTCACATGCTTGTCCTTCGTCCAGTGTTCTGTCATTGTGTTTAGGATTACTCGAGTGAGAAGTTTGTAGACGGAAGACAGTAAGCAGATTGGGCGATAGTTACCAATATCGTGTAGGTCATATATATCAATATCGTACCTTCTTGAACAATAGCACGGTCTTACTGGTCCTCCACTGAGTAGAGCCTTGCATTCAGAAAGGTTACGTGTGATAAGTCGAGCCAGTTTGCTTATAAGAACTACGGAAAATTCTTCAGGTTTTCAGATCTTACCTTTTCCATACCTGGTGTTGTTCGACAGCTTGTCGGATTTCGGAAGGGGAAATCGGCGGTACGACGTACCCATCCTCTTTCATTTCACATGAGTAAAGGATCGAGTGGTTACTGAGAGATCGGAGGTAATCGTGAATGATTTCCTCCATTACTTTTCCAGAAGCTGTAGCTGTTCCGTGTGGGCGTCGGAGCGGTGCAATCATTTTGCTTTTGTAAGTCCCGAAGCTTCAATGTGGATCAACAATCACCCGTCAGCGGGATTGATCTGGGGGCCCAAATCGGCAACGAACCTAGTTAAGCCGAGGCTGTAGTTATAATCACAATTTCAACTTATTATTTACTGCCTACTCTTTTTTAATTGCAGGATATATTGCGAAATATACCTTCAATGATGCTGAGATGTTTGCAAAACTCCGGACCACAGGTGCATGTGATGGGGAACAAACGCGCTATTGTCCTTTCCGGGGAGTAGCGATCTTTAATTGGTCCAATGAATGCTATATTCATTTGCGGTTGGAGTGAAGTGGTAAGACACAAAAGGAACGAATCATAGGAAGTGTCAATCAGACGACTGAAAACAAACCCACCTGAAATTGGACGTTGTTTTCCATTACGTAGTCAGTCATAAAGTAACCTACGGATAGCAAAAGGCTTG